CTCATTCCTCCACGACGGCGAGTTGGTCACCCTACAAGGTGTTCGACCCAAGACGACGCCCACGCTCGCGGCCGTTCAGCCGGCCGAGCTCTGCAAACTGATCGTTGGCAATGACATCTGGGCAATGGCCATGGTGGAAATGCAACCCCCCAGACCCTAGTCTCGCATTCCATCGCAGACGCCGATCAGTGACCTATTGGAGGAGTTTGTCGATGTCTTCGCCACGCCCACCGGTCTGCCTCCTCATAGGCAGTACGATCATGCAGTCACTTTGGAAGAAGGGGCTCAACCTACAAACACACGACCGTACCGTTACTCGCCATTACAGAAGGACGAAATCGAGCGCCAAGTGAAAGAGATGCTCGACACCGGCGTGATCACACACTCGGTCAGCCCGTACGCTGCTCTTGTACTACTGGTGAAGAAAAAGGACGGATCATGGCGGTTCTGTGTCGATTACAGACGCCTCAACGACATCACAGTGAAGAACAAGTTTCCGTTGCCGATCGTGGACAAGCTCCTCGACGAGCTAGCCGGCGCTGCTTTCTTCTCCAAGCTCGACCTACGGGCAGGCTATCACCAAATTCGCGTGCGTGAAGAAGACGAACACAAGACTGCATTCAAAACCCACCACGTCCATTTCCAGTTCCGAGTGATGCCGTTCAGCCTGACAAATGCTCCAGCAACCTTCCAGTGCTTGATGAATGCGATCTTCGCCAAGTATGCACGTAAGTTTGTCATCATTTTCCTTGACGACATTCTGGTTTCAGTGAGACCTGGGAAGAGCACTTGGAACATCTTCGCCTTGTCTTGAGCCTGCTCCGTGAGCACCAGCTATTCGCCAAGATGTCGAAGTGTTCGTTCGTGCAAGATCACATCGATTACCTCGACCACGTCATCTCCAAGCAAGGCGTAGCGACCGACTCCGAGAAGACAGAAGCCATGGCTCAGTGGCCTACTCCGACCAACGCCACCGAGCTGCACGCTTTCCTGGGGCTCACCGGCTACTACTGCAAATTTGTGCCGCACTATGGGATCATCGCCAAGCCCCTCACGTTGCAGCTCACCAGGAAAGGCTTCTACTGGCCCGAGTCCACGTAGCGCGCCTTCGACATGCTCAAGCAGGCGATGGTGACCACGCCGGTGCTCGCCCTCCCCGACTTCGACAAGCCTTTCTCGATCAAGACGGACGCCTGCGACACCGGCATTGGCGCAGTGCTGGTGCAAGAAGGCCACACGGTCGCCTACTACAGCAAGGCGCTGGGAGTGAAGAACCAGAAACTCTCAACTTATGAGAAGGAGTTTCTGGCAGTCATGATGCCGGTGGACAAATGGCGCTCCTACCTGCAGCGCGGGCCATTCACCATCCTCACCGACCACAAGAGCTTGTGCATGTTGGGCGATCAACAACTGGTGACTGACGTCCAGCGCCGTGCGATGTCGAAGCTCGTCGGCCCGGAGTTCAAGTTTCAGTACAAGCGCGACATCGACAATGGAGCAGCAGATGGGCTCTCCCACGTGGGCAGCCACTTCAACGCCAACGCTCTATCCCTTTGCCAGCCCGCGTGGATCCAGGAGGTGGCCAATTCCTACGCCACTGATCCGGACGCGCAAGAACGGCTGCAACAACTTGCACTATACAGCCCAGATGATGACGAGTATGAACTGTACCGTTGACTCATACGGCGCCAGGGCCGGCTGTGGATTGGCGCCAACATCGCTCTGCGCACCAAGCTCATCAGCGCGATGCACGACAGCACCGTGGGCGGCCACTCCGGAGCACGTCAAGAAAGTTTTCGAGTGTAAGGGCCTGAAACAAGATGTCGACAACTTTGTACGCTAGTGCCAGGTCTGCCAGCAAGCCAAGCATGAACTTCGCAAGCCCGCAGACAAACTGGCACCCCTGCCGATCCCTCCGCACCGTGGCAAGACCTGACCATGGATTTCATCGAAAGATTGCCCAAGTCTGAGGGGTATGATGCAATCATGGTGGTTGTCGACCGCTTCACAAAGTTCGCTCACTTCGTGCCTTTGCGACACCCGTTCACGGCAACGCAGGTGGCGCGCGTGTTCTGGGACAATGTCATCAAGCTCCACGGCATCCCCAAATCCATCGTCAGCGATCGCGACAAAATCTTCACCAGTGTGCTGTGGCGTGAACTGTTGGCCGGCGCGAGCACCAAGCTCCTCTACTCCACAGCTTACCACCCCCAGACGGATGGCCAAAGTGAGCGCGTCAACCAGTGCATGGAAATGTACTTGCGCTGTGCCATTCACGACACTCCCAAGCAATGGCGTCGTTGGCTTCCCGCTACTGAATTCTGGTACAATTCCTCGTTCCACTCATCACTGGGTTGCTCTCCCTTCAAAGCTCTGTACGGGGTCGAAGCCAACGAGGGGAGCATGGCCACCTGGCCGGCATCCCAGCCAGCTTTGCCGGACGGTGAGCAGTAGGACTGGTCTTTACATCAGGAAAACCTGCGTGCACACCTGGCACGAGTGCAAGTCAAGCACAAGAAGTTGGCGGACCAACGGAGCGGGCGTTTCAGGTCAGGGAGCAAGTTCTCCTGAGGCTGCAACCGTATGTGCAAAAGTCTGTGGCGAGTCGCCCCTGTTCGAAGCTTGCTTTCAAGTTCTTTGGCCCTTTCGCTGTCATCGCCAAGATCGGACCCGCATCATACAAACTGGAGCTCCCTACTGACAGCAAAATTCACCCAGTGTTTCACATCTCACAGTTGAAGCCATTCACGCCAAACTACAGTCCGGTGTTCTCCGAGCTCCCGGTCACCACCGATCTGTCCACTAAGGAGACCATACCAGTGGAAATCTTGGACCGCAGAATGATGAAGAAGGGCAACGCGCCAGTGATTCAACTTCAAGTGGCTTGGGACACGGCTCCTCCGACGATCACCTGGGAAGATTACGACGTGCTCCGCCGGCGCTACCCGCAAGCAAGCATTTGGGAAGACGATGCAACGGAGGAAGAAGAGCGTTCTCAAGGAGGGAAGAATGTCACCACGGTAGTACAAGGCACCACCGCGTGACTGCCAGTTGGCCGTGCCAAGCGTAGAGTGTGTGCGTGAGCCAGCTGTAAGTGTGTGTGTGTGGCCAGGCCGGGTCAAGTGGTACTTAACCTCCGGGTGAGCATTGTATTGGGCAGGCTGTGATTGAGTAATCGAATCCTCTCACCTCACTTCTCTCTCACTCATCCCCTTCCTCACACTATCCTCGTCCCCCTTTCTCTCTTCCTGCCTACTCTGGTCTCCTCGATCCAGATCGGGGCGTGACAGTCGTTCGCCAGAGGCCGGAAGAGCCGAGGGTCCATGCCGAAGAACCCATCAACCACAGCTATCACGGCAGCTCCAGCCTCGTCGTCCCATTGCTCCACCAGCGATGGAAAGGATCCGCCACCGGGCAAGTAGCAACCGCAAGTAGGGTTTGTAGAGGGGTTGGGGGGCGAGACCCGAGCGGCCAGGGAGGGGTCGCTGCCCCCTTCGTCGTCTTCCTTCTTTTTATTAGGGCTCCCTTCGAACCCAGCTGATGGGTCGTGATTGACCACTTGCTAGAGGGTCTGCCTGGTCCAATCAACCGGAGGACTCCAAAAAGGCCACCGGAGCAGCTGCCCCTAGGACAGTAAGCCCAGATCGTGGCTACGGTTAGCCAGCAGCACTTGCTAAAAAAAAAGCAGCGTTACACACGCATCCAACGGACCAAAATAGCCGGATCGGGACAATGGACGGCTTAAAAACCTGATGGCGTGTGAAGGCTCCGTTTAGGCTCGGTTTTTCTGCCCTTAATTTTTTTTAAAATGCATGTTAACCGGTGCAATGATCCTACACCTACGTAATCTTTGCTGGACTGCGACGTAACCTTCCAACAAATTATTTTGGCCTCGCCCCTAAATTTCACCGCGGTGGGCCCATCCTCTCACCTATTCCCAATCACAGAAGTCCCCATCAGCATTTATGTAAACTGCTAACCTAACCTTTCGTAGGTGTAGCATTGCAAAAGTAGTGTCAAATCGCAAGTTCGTCGCGCTTCTTCATCTCTTGGTGGCGCACTCTGCCTGTGTCGCCGGCGAGCCGAGAGCCTCTTTGCGTTGGCGGCTGGCCTGAACGTCGACGAGCTGCACGCCTTTTCCAACTGCACAAAAGTGACGGATACACCGGTTCTCCTTTACTCTTTAATTACCGGAAAAGGGTTAATCAACGCCATTCTCTTCCTTTTTGAGCGTTCTATCACCTTCACAGCTCCTTTACCCACATCGACAACTCGAAGTCTTGTCAAACTCAGCGGTAAAGCCGGTACATAGCTGAACATCTGCCCGACAAGGTCCACATGCGCCCCCGACTTCCACTCCGCAGTCGACTCGAGACCCGATGTCTTCCCTCACCAGGAGGAGCACTGTAATTTTCAACGAGCGAGACATTAGCACATCGATCCGCTCGTGAACCCTGAATTAACCACTGCCCAAGCGCCTCCTCAAGTCAAAGACACTAGGAACAGAGACCATTATAAAACCGTTGGAATCACGTGGCCGCGGCATACAAAATAGCCGACGAGGACGAGCAGTCGAGCACCGTGCTTCCCCAGCTAAAAACTGAGCGATCTGCTTCATCTTCCAACAGACATCTCCCTAACCCACGCACTAAAAAACCGAGCACCTGACACGCCCTCGTAGACGCCACCCGTAATTAACCCCCCTGCACCGACCTGTTTACCAGACCAACGATCGAGCTCAAAAACTCACCGTGCTACTACTAGTTTGCATAAACAAAGCGCCAAGGCCTTTCACCAGAGCCGTATATATACGAGTAGTGTGGAGGAGACAGGAGGTGAATATATATTTCCGGCCAAATCTTGGATGCTCTCGCGGGGTTCACCAACTCTCACTTGTCCATGATCTTGTCCCTGTGCTGATTAGCAGCACCTGCCCACAAAGCCTCCTTGATTACCAGCTCCGTTTCGCGGAAGCAGGGAGCTAGATCCATTTGCTCGAGATGAATGGCTACTCCAACCTCGCCTCCTCGCCCCCGCCAGTGGCGGTGGCGGTGGCGGCGGTGACCAAGGGCGCCCGGGCCAGGCGATCGCTGGAGCTGACCCACACCAAGGAGACCAACGCGTGGGAAGGGCTGGCCATCGGGGCGGTCACCCTGGCGAGGACCTTCTCCACCGGCTCGCAGAGGCTCTGCAGCAGGTCCGGTGACAAGGCCAGGGGCGCCCTGCCGGGCGCCATGAGGAGGGCCTTCTCCATGCGGAGGCACCCCGCGGCTCCCGGCAAGGGCGACGGGCACTACTGGAGGATCCACGACATGGAGGGGGACAGCGACCACGGCGACGGCCACAATGCGGCGGCCGAGGAGGAGCGCGGCGTGGAGAAGGAGCACGAGGAGAAGAAGGAGCCGCGGCGAGAGGAAGGTCGGCCGAAGGAGGAGGCCAAGACGAAGAAGAAGAGAGGCAACCACAACATCCTCAAGGCGTGCAAGAAACTCTTCCGGTTGTGATGGATGACGGCTTGTCGATCGATCGAGCCGCTTCTGCTATAACGAAATGTACTTGTTTGATCTCTTGGTTGATTGTTGGGGTGTTCATGTTGCATTTGTTTCGTTCGTTTCCGTTGAGGAGGAGCTAAAACCAGGGTGAGCTCGCCATGCCGAGCGCTGCGCGCATGCGTGTTTGTGCACTTTGTTCGCTGAGTGCGAGCTTTAGATCTGGATGAGACTGGGAGTGTGGGCCACGGCCGTGTCGCGCGGGCATTTTGCTGGTCTCCGATGCCATCACGGGCGACCACCGGAGACCGGAGTCAAATGGACACCGGGAGTTCGTGCGCAACCTCTGTCGTCGGGTGGGAGCCGCAGCTGTCGGAGCTCTAGACTCGGTGTGGTATGCGCAGCGGGTGGCCGAAATGGCCCAAATAGTAAATCACTACTACCCTATGCATAAGAGCAACTCCAACAGGCCGATCCAAACGGACGTGATTTCGTCCGCTTTTTGTCCGTTTGGGTCAGCCAGACGGACACGGATGCCCGCTTTCGTATTTGGGTTGGCATTTGCAGCCAATGCTGGCCTGCGACCCATTTAGACGGCGCAAAAATAATAATAAACGCATGCATATTTAAAAAAGGAGAAACTATATTAATTAAACATTAAAGCCGGCCACGAAGGCCGGTGAGAGTCCACGTGTCCACATTTGCATTTAAAAAAATAAAAACAGCCTAAACTACGAGGCGGCGCGCTGCCCTAGGTGTCCTCGTCGTCGTCCTCGGGGTCCGTGAGGTCGATGAGCGTCGGCGCCGGCCCAGGCGAACGCCGTGTTCCAGAGCGCTGCCATGTCGGGTTGTGCCGGCGCAGGCAGTGCCGGAGCGGGGGGCTGTGCGGCCGCCTGTGCAGCCGCAGCCTGGCGCGCCTCCTCCTCGGCCTCGCGCGCCTCCTCCTCGAGGTCGCGCTCAAGCATTTCCTCGTACTCGCCTTGCCGACGCTCCTCTGCCAGTCGGCGCTGGCGCCACATCTCGAGGTAGGCCTGCTCCTGCGCTGGCGTCGCCCCCAGCCAGACCGGTGGCGCGGACACCCACTCGTGCACCACTTCATTCCAGGAGAAGCGCGCGATGGGCTCGGGCTCGGGCTGCGGCTGCGGCTCCGGCTTGATGGGGGACGGCGGGGCCACCGGCGGCACCACGCTGTTGCCCGCTGCGGAGAGGGCAAGGGCCTGCGCCATTGCCGCCTCGTAGCGGGCCTCCTCTTCCGCCTCCGCCGCCTCCGCTCTGCGCCGTTCGTCCTCTTCGCTCTCACGGTAGACGGCCGCAAGGGCCGCCTAGTAGGACGGCCCCGCCGCACGGTCGGCTTAAAAAAGGACGAGCGATGTCGCTGACGTGTGGGCTTGTCGTCATAAATTAAGCTGACCGCGTGGACAACGGGTAGTTGGACGGCCGCCATGTGGGGACGCGGCGGACAGCGAGAAGGCGCGTGAAGCATCCGTTCGGCATCCGCGCCGACGCATTTGGGGCGCAAATTTGGGCCGCAAATGCGTCGGCGCGGACGCGACACGGACGTGATTTGGGTTTGGGTCGGCGCGTGGGGCCACCACTTTTGTCCGCGCCGACCCAAACAGACGCAGGCGGACGAAATGGGTCGGCCCTTTGGAGTTGCTCTAAGACGGTCTTGACTGCTTAAGAGCCCGGCGTCCCAAACCCGCCTCAAACACTCGGGCGGACGGCCCGATCACCTGACCGGTCACAATTAAGCGGTTCAGACGGGCGTCTCATACATCCGAGGTGACCGGCATCCCTAATATTTAGCCCAAATCTAGAGCAGATATGGGACGCACAGCGCACCCGGACGCGTCCATTACGTCGGTCCTAGCCCACGCTGGCCCACCCGACCCACATATATTCCTCCCCGTTCGCTCGCCGAACCAAAACCTAGCCACTTCATTCCATTTCCCCTTCATTCCCCTTCGCCACCCAATCTACCGTTCGACGATCTCCGGCCTTCTCCGGCAAGGCGGGAAACAGATCCGAGTCCTACACCTCCAGATCAGACAACCCCGAGCCTATCCCACGTGGCCCCGAGGAGGAGCTGGTCGTCCGGCTTGCGCTCCGCCGCTCCCGGGAGGAGGCAGCCCGACGACATCGCTCGAACTTTTTCCGTCGGGAATCCATTGCGTCCGCCCAAATGGCGCATGGATCCGGTGCTAGGTGTGTCATCGCTGCCTCATCAGAGGCGGTGTGGTTTCTCTGGCGTCCAAACGCAATGGTGGACGCACAACCCATCCGTTGGCCCGCTGAGGCCATGGACGCACCATAGGCATCGTCCGACTCAAACATGGCTTGGCGCGTCCGTTGTGCGAGGCGGCGGCATCCCTCGCGGCAGTGGACATTGTGGAGGCTGAGTCGCATTCCCCAGCTCCCTGTATGGTGCACCGGTCCGGGCGTCGCAACCGCATCATGGTGGATGTCGCCGGCTCGTCCCACAATGGATCCATCATAGATTTGACGTCATCGGCACCATCCGGGTTCCAGGCTCCGACGAGGAAGAGTAGGGCATGAGAGACGGTGACGCCTTGAGTCCTTTTAGCCGGCTCGTGTCCCATGCGTACTCTACCTTGTTGGTGACTGGACCAACACTCACGGAGCGCAACAGGCTGCCAGATATGGGCACGGCGGAGCCGGATGAGACAGGTTTACGTTGCATGTAATAATATGAATTTGAGGTTTCTAACATGAGATATCCCATTGTAGAATGAAATATTTAAGGTGTGACCGATCACTTTCCGTGGACGCACCCGGACGCGTTCGCGGGCGTTTGAGCAAGCCACTGGACATGGACACAGCGAAGCCGGACGAGCTCCGTTTAAAGATCGGTTTACGTTGCATGTAATAATATGGATTTGAGGTATCCTATTGTAGAATGAAATATTTAAGGCGTGACCGGTCACTTTCCACGGATGCACCCGGGCGCGTTCGTGGGCGTTTGAGGAGTTGAATTTGTCAAGTTCGGTTGTAGACGCTCTAATAACTGAGACCATGTCCATTCATTTTTTGAGAAAGAAAGCACCCTCTCTAATTTTATTTAGTTGAAACCACGGTGCCTTAGAGCATCTGAAACTGAAGTGCGCAAATCTGCCTCCCTAAACGTCCGCGGGAATGTCCACACAGCGTCGGCCGCCCTCAGATGTCCTCTTTTACTACCACCCTCAGTTTTGAAACCTTAAATCCATGCCAACACATACATGTCGATCATTACATGTAAACAATGTCATGATGAATAATGAGGGGCCTATTTTGGAATAGCAGAGGTCTTGCTGACTTGGCTAAGCGTAGTTTCCTTGATGAAACTTCGTATGAATATAAGTTATATTTTATTGCATTGTCAGAAACGGGTCGGGACAATTTTACGCCGAAATTTCTTGGGACAATTTCTGGTGGTGCAGACTTTGATTGGCATTGTCTACCACCTAGGGGGAGATCAGGCAGGATCTTACTTGGACTTAATTGTGGTACATTGGAAGTCCTAAATGTGTTTTTGGGTGACTTCACTGTCAAATTTCCTGGTGGCGGTGTATGGTGCAGCATAGCCGGAGCTCAAGCCTGATTTCCTGGCAGACCTGGTGAGGATCTCTGGGAAGGTGAGGTTACCCATTTTGGTTGCGGTGATTTTAACATTATCACAAGGAGAGAGGAGAATAATAACGAAAACTTTGATGGAAGATGGTCGTTTATGTTTAGCACCATCACTGATATTCTTGACCTGCGAGAGATTGATCTCACACGCAGACAATTCACTTGGGCGAACAATTTGGCGAACCCAGCATATGAGAAATTGGACAGACTGTTGACCAGTGTTGAGTAGAAACAGAAATTTTCCTTAGTTACGGTGCAAGCATTACAAAGGGCAATCTCTGACCACATTCCACTGCTTGTTGATTTAGGAGATGCGACTCACACTGGCAACAAGAATACCTTTTCTTTCAAAACGACATGGTTTGAAAAGGATCTTGGACCTGACTGACATGGAGTGGGCTAAGGAAACTAGAGGGGTTTCAGATGTTGATAAATGGCAATGAAAAATAAGGCACTTGCGATAGTTCCTGCAGGGATGGGCAAAAAATGAGAGTGAAATTTATAGAGCGGAAAATGATAGGTTTTTGAAGCTCATTGACAAATTCGACATAGGTCAATATACTCAACGTGTTTGACAATGTTGCCAAGAGGGAGACCGAAGTGAAGCTAGCGAAGCTTCTCAGAGATGAAGAGTTGATGTGGGCTCTTAGAGCTAAAGTTCGGAAAGTAATTCAGGGAGACAATAATACCCAGTTTTCCCATATGATTGCAAATGGGAAACACAGAAAGAAGAAAATTACGCAACTTGAGTAGGATGAGGGTACAATTATTGGGCATGCGAACATAAAATTATACGTCTCCAACTTCTATAAGAGGCTTTTGGGGGCACCTGCGGAGAATTTTGTTTCTCTAAATGAGGATATGGTTAGGGATATTCCTCAATTGAATGTAGACGAGAATGAGGTGTTTTCGGCACCATTCTCTGAAGAGGAAGTGTATGAGGCAATCGGTCAAATGAAAAGTAATAAGGCACCTGGTCCTGACGGATTCTCGGCTAAATTTTACAAGAAATGCTAGGGCATCATTAAAGGGGATCTTATGCCCATGTTCCATGATTTGTCTAATGGTTACCTTCAACTTTTCAAGTAAAACTTTCGAACACTCAGTTTGTTACTAAAGGAGGAGGCGATTCACACTAAGCAGTTCAGACCGATATGTCTGCTGAATGTGAGCTTTAAGATTTTCATCAAAGTTGGGACTAACCGCCCCACAAATATCGCGCACTTGATTGTTCAGCTAACTCAGACCGCGTTCATGATGGGACAACATATTCTAGAGAGGGTGGTCATCCTGCATGAGACCATGCATAAGATTCACTCGAAAAAACTCGATGGTGTAGTTTTCAAAGTAGATTTCGAGAAGGCTTATGACAAAGTTAAGTGCTC